ATGTGTGATTTTAGTGGAGGTGGTATTGGTATTAAACAGATTGATCAAGTAGGGAGAGAGAGAAAGGCAAGGCTTACTGAGGGAAAGAACTATATACTTAGCTTATATAGGGAAAGGAATATTTAAATGAAAAGCACCTTGGAGAAAATACTACGGACATCTGTGTCGGAGAGCTGTAAGTGGCCTGAGCTGCACTAGCTAAGTGCATCATTCATGGACCAATGTTAAAAAAAAATACTTAGAAACACTTGAATGTGAGAAACCAGGACAGGGATATATGATTTTTCCCAGACTTGGGTGACATAGAAAAATTTACCAACAAAGATTACTGTTTTGTGGGGGTGGGGGGTGGGTAGGGGCAGGCTTGGACTGTGTCCTCTACCATACCCCAGTTCTCTTCGTACTTTGGTTTATCAAACATTGTCACAAATTGCAGCCCCCTAGACGTGCACTCTGTGTTTCTTTATCATGAGCCCCTTCCCTTGGGGAGCATCAAGTTCCTCCCTGGCCTCTTAGAGCAGTCGAGTGAGCCCCACTCTCTGGCAATAAGAGAGGGAACCTGAGCTGTTAATAGAACTAAAGTGACTTTTAAAAAGTCTCTTGAGAGACTATGAGTGGGCCTATATTAACTAAGTGCTGGTGTGCAGTGATCTCCCCACCCATCCAGTTATTGATTCATACCAGGCCGGAAGCTCTCTCAGACTGGCTGTGGAGGCGAGAAGGTGAGGTATCTGGTAGGGCTGATGTGCACTGTCAGGCTGTGGCCTGTGCTCGATGCGTAAGGTGGAATCTGGAGAGCAAAGATGATGGGGTGAGGTCGTGTCTGGAAAGTAGCCAGCATCCTTGGCTTTTACATGTAAGCATCTGTTAGAATATAGTTGCATAATTGCTACAAGAAACCTTAGAAATTCATCCCCATCTTTTACAAATATTTGAGGAAACTAAAGCCCAAAGAGGTAAAAGGGACTTACAAGCCAGTGAGCTGCTTGTCGTTACAAACTGATGAATTGTGTGTTGAAGCCAATAGGTTTCTCCAGACTGTCTTAAAGCAAAAATGGAATTTTGTCTGTTCCATTGGAATGGTCTGTAGAAGGGTAGTGACCTCAGAGCTGTAGGCAGCCAGGCAAGTATCATAAATACGGGAATGAGCTGGGACAAGGACAGAGGGTGGCTGGGACTGCGGAGGACCAGAAAAGACAGGCCTGTTCTGTGTGAAGGAGGAGAGTTACCCCTGTGCGGGAGGGCAGCCCCAGTGGTGTTAGGCACATTCATTCTCCAAGGGAATTAGGAATGGGTCAACCTTCTGTGAACTAAATACAGAGTCAGAGGGGCTGAATTCAGCCTGAGGGTTGACCCTGCCCCTGACACGGATGCAAGGTGGTTTTTACCAGTAGGCTGGGCGTAAACCTAGTGAATCACAACAGCTACGTTTTTTCTCCCACACATTTTTCAAGTCATTGTTCTGGGTGGTGGTTTTGACATCCTTCCCCTTCTTTACCTCTGCAGGGAAGGGAGCCCATAAGTAGTACCTGCGTCTTCTGCCCTGTTCACTCTCAGGGCCCGTTTTTAATGAGAAGGAGAAGGGAGAGAGACACAGGGCCTGGGAGGACTGCAAGCCGGTGATCTACATTTGAAGACTAAGGAATTGCAGGGTGGCACACTTGATCCAGTGTCTGTACTTTCACATCCATCTGGGACTTAACAAAGTGAAGATTTATGCCCAGATCTAGCCCGGAGGCAGGGAAGAAAAAAATTATCAATTTTCAAACAAATGCCAAGTTATCTTCTGCTTCTCTATAAATCTCTCTATCTTTTAAACAGGGCAGCATTTGAAATCTCTGCCTGCAGATTTTTTTTTCTTGATGACAGTTGGCAGGAAGTACCCAGGAGTTTAAAGAATAAGTGGGAAGAATCTATGAAAACTGCAAAAAAAAAAAAAAAAAAAAAAAGAATAGGCTGAATGTTGACAGCATCTCCCTGCAAGATTGTTGCAACTGTCTCTGCTTCTGCCTTCCTGACCTCAGCCAGTCACTTGTCAACAGGAGCCGGCCCCTTAAAACGTTAGTCACTCAGTCCATCTCTTTTTTTGAGTCACAAGATTCCAGTGGCCAAATGCCTGTAGATGCTGAAAGCCTTTTTTTAAAATAAGTTTTTAAAAAAAATTTTTTTTTAGACTAATGGTGAGGGTATAGACGATTAGGTTACATTGTTGGCGTTTGTTAGGGAGAATCCGGGCTGTAGTTGTGTCCCTCACCAGGAAGGTGTGCCCTGTGCTCTCACATTGTGCCCATTAGGTGACAGAGAGCACACCATCTGCCCTTCTCCCCCGCCCCCCTTTCCCCTCCACTTGAGTTTAATTGCGATTAACATCTGGATGTGTATTTGTTATCTACTGATTTCATATTAAGTACATTGGATACTTTTCCATTTTTGTGATACATCACCAAGAGAATGTTCTCCAACTCTATTCACATTAACACAAAAGAAGTAAAGTATTTTATGGCTGAATAGTACTCTATGGTATACGTATACCACAGTTTATTAATCCACCCACGGGTTGATGGACCCTGGATTGATTCCACCTCTTGACGATTGTGAATTGAGCTGCTGTAAACACTCAAGTGCAAATATCCTTATGGCAAAATGTTTTTGTTTTTTTTTCTTCTGGGTAGATACCTAGTAATGGGATTGCAGGATCAAACGGAGGGTCTACTGTTAGTTCTTCAAGTATTCTCAAAGAGGCTGTATTAGGAGAGGCACACAAGTGAAAGAGAGACTTTACCTAACAAATGCAAAATAAAAAAGGCAACAAAGAGGCATATAAGTTTGCAGTCCCACCAACAGTGCATGAGTGTTCTCTTCTCTCCACATCTGCACCAGCATCTGCAGCTTAGGGACCTACAAGGCTTCGGTCTGTGGCCTGCCCCAGCCCTCCCATTCCTTTCCTGACCTTAGCTGCTACCACCGTGGTGTGTTCACTCTGCCCAGCCACAGACTCTAGTGTGCTCCCTCCTAGGGGTCTTTGCATTTGATCTTGTCTATCCTTGCTTCTTAGAGAAGTATTGCCTACTGAAAATTGAGGCCCCCTCTCTCTCCTAGCTCCTACCTGCAGCGGCCCCCTCTCCTTCCCAGGTCCTTCCTTGCAGTGGCCCCCTCTCCTACACAGATTCCTCCCTGCAGGGCCCCCTCTTCCTCCTAACTCCCTCCCTGCAGGGCCCCCTCTCCCTCCCAACCCCCTCTCTCCTGGCTCCCTACCTCCACTCTCTGCTTTACTTTGCTGGTACCTCCGACTTCAGCTGCTGCAATACACTTTACTTACTTGTCTCTCTTAGTATAAAATTTCCATGGGTGCAGGGATTTTTGCCTGCTTTGTTAACTGCTGTGTTTGTGGAGCTTAAAATGGTGCCTAAAAGCATAGCGGGTACTTGACAAGGATTTATTGAATAATTGTGAGATTTTTTCTCCCCTCTGTGCTGGGCAGATACACCCCTTGGTACTGAATCGTGGGGTTGTTAACATTGCTACTAATGGTCTTTGTCTGTTTTTCCAGTTTCCTGTGTCAATTTTACTTCCTAACATATCTTGAATTTTTTTGTTGTTTTGCTTCTTTCTATCTCCATTTTCTTTTCCTTTAGTTTAAACCATCCTTTCTCACTTGGAATATAGACTCTTACCATTCACTTTTGTCTCCTTCACCCAGTCTCACTGAGCAACTGGGATGATCTATCTAAAATCTACATCTGGTCACTTATCATTCCTTCTCTACAGGGAGTCTTGGAAGTCCTCTATACAGTAGCCATGCATTGGGAGATGAGAAATTGTAGCTAAATGTACCTTTACTTACAAAATATCCATTACAAAATTTTACAAAATATTCTCCACTTGTTGGCCACATCTTTTTAAAATGTTGTAATGAATATTTAGTAAATAAAGACACAATTAGGTCTGGTTTCCCATTTCCCTGTGTATGGCAACCTCATGGGGGAGTTTGGGGACAGACATCCTGTAGTTTAATGCCCTTCGGTGGTGTCCCACATTCCTTCACATAAAACCCAACATCCTTGGCACACCCCCCAAGGCCCTGTGTGGTCTGGCTGCAGCGATGGCTTTGTCTGCTCCCGTCCTTCCTGACACAGGGCGTTGGCTGCTCTCATGATGGGATGCATTCCTCTCAGCTCCCTCCCTGCAGGGCCCCAGCATTCTCCCCATCTGGATTTTAACGTCCCTTTCTCTGAGTTTCTCTAAGTCCCTGTACCAGCCATTTTCTTTTTCCTTCATAATTTTAACCATGGTAGTACTTAATACTTGTGGAATTGTTTGCTTAATGGCTGGCTTTGTCTACACTGAGGGCAGGACCCTTCTGTGGTGCTTGCCTTTGTGTCCCCAGCACTTGATACTGTATGTGATACACAGGAAGCTTGAGGAATTATTGTGCAGAAATAAATAAAAGTAGCACATAGGTATCTTGCCCCACCCCGCCCCAGGGATTGGGGACCTTGTGGAGCAGTGTCACTCCCAGGGATACAACACCTCCGCCTCCGGGCCACAGGAAAGAACCAGGCAGAACAAGGATTAACGTGCTAGCTTGCCAGAGGTGGGCTAACCAGAGGTGCAGGAGAGGGAGGCCTGAGCCCCCTCTGCAATGGCTGTTCATTGAGGTTATACACAACAGGAGTGGTGAATTAAAGTAATGACATACCAGGGCTGTGTGCAAACATGCTCTTTCCTCACGTGTTCTTTCCCCACAACCCCCAAGAAGAAGCACCAAGCATTGGTGTTTAACAACTGCTTACTAATGAGTGACCAATCTTATCTCATTCCTGAGCACTGAATTAGTTGGGGGATTGCCCCTAGGTCACAAAACATCTCCAGGCTTGCCAGGAGACTGTCCTGTTTCAGAGCTTCCTTTTAATGAGATAAGAAACAGTAACTGTCCTTGCAAGCAGGGTGTCCATTCCTCTACACAGCGGTATCTCATTAATTACTATTTCTCTCCACAGAGATTATTTTGCAGAGGATGATGGAGACATTGTACCCAGAACAAGTCAGGCAGCAGGTAAGGGTGCCCTGAGCCTTGCTTTGTTAATTCTTGTTTCCTACTGATCATAATTTCCTTGAATTGTGGACCCTTTAGGTTCAGCATAGCAACGTACTTAAACTTATGTTTGCACATACTCTAATTCCCAGTGAAGAATTATATGTCACATATAATTCTATGTGCTAGGAAGCTGTTCAGCGCAGTAAATCGTAACTAAAATACTTACATGAGCTCTTCATACTTTTAATGACTCTGTAATTACAAGATTAAAGTCACTTGTGAAATGACTAAGATAATTCTGTTCCTAAAATAAAATATCCTAATATACCATTAAAGTGGGTATAATAATAATGTCAGTCTCATAGGTACAATTAAGGGACAAAAGCTCTTAGTGCAGAGCCCATCAAGGAATAAGCACTCAGGAAATCTGACTTACTGTTTTTACTAACATATTCATTAGAGCAGTCATTACTGTGTTACCATCAGCCTGCCATCTACCTAAATCACAAAACCAAAGTGAAGATAGCTTTCTTTGGGGGTCCATTTTTTTTTTTGCAAAAATGTCTCCCCAACTTGAAGACTTTACTCCCTTGCTGGGTTGTCTGTTTTCTTCATACTAGTCTTAAAGATTGTTCATATGCACAGTGTGGAAAAAGCCTTTAAATAAATTAAGAACTTCAGAGTCACTTAAAATTGGCATCTGAAACTGTGTTAAATCCACAAATTCTGAGGGCTACCATACTCAACATTTTGAGTGCCAGCAAAAATGGAAGAGAAATGCATAAAGTGCCCGCTGCAGATAAGACACTTGGTTGGGTACTTTCATTATTATTCTGTTTAATCCCTAGGAGACCTCTGTGATGTAGGTATTATTGCACATACTATTGTTTTTTTGAGGCAGTCTCACTTTCTCACCCTTGGTAGAGTGCCATGGCATCACAGCTCACAACCTCCAACTCCTGGGCTTAGGCAATTCTCTTGCCTCAGCCTCCCAAGTAGCTGGGACTACCGGTACCCACCACAATGCCTGGCTATTTTTTTGGTAGCAGTTGTCATTGTTGTTTAGCCGGTCCAGGCCAGGTTTGAACACGCCAGCCTTGGTGTATATGGCTGGCACTGTAACCACAGTGCTATGAGCAACAAGCCAAAGAAATATTCTTTTTTTTTTTTTTTTTTTTGAGACAGAGTCTCACTTTGTTGCCCTTGGTAGAGTGCCATGGCATCACAGCTCATAGCAACCTCAAACTCTTGGACTTAAGCGATTCTCTTGCCTCAGCCTCCCAAGTAGCTGGACTATTGGTGCCTGCCACATCTGGCTATTTTTTTTCCTGGCTATTTTTTTGTTGCAGTTGTTCAGTTGGCCTGTGCCAGGATCGAACCTGCCACCCTCGGTGTATGTGGCTGGCACTGTAACCACTGGGCTAGGGCGCCAAGCCCTATTACCCTTATTTTTACATAGGCAATGGAACTCAGAAAAATTAAGAGACTTTCCCAAATGCCCACTATAAGCAGATGGTCCTGAGATTCAAATCCAATCTTCAAAAACTCTGTTTTTTTCCATCATAACCCACCAATCTAACTGTAACGTGTTATTTTTCTGTTTTATCAAATTCTCTTCTTCTGAGTAGCCTATTTAATTTCACCCAAATGTGGAATCATTCATTCTAATTTCTTTTAATGAAAAAGTTTGGACCAGGTTTGGTGGTTCCTGCCTGTAATCATGGTACTCTGGGAGGCAGAGGCAGGTGCATTGCTTGAGCTCAGGAGCTGGAGACCAGCCTAAGCAAGAGTGAGACCCCATTTCTACTAAAAATAGAAAAACTAGCCAGGCATTGTGGTAGGTGCCCGTAGTCCCAGTTACTCAGGGGGCTGAGGCAGGAGGATTGCTTGAGCCCAGGAGTTTGAGGTGGTTGCCCTGGCACCTTAGCCTAGGCAAGACTCCATCTCAAACAACTGAACAAACAGTTCAGTAACAAAGACTCATTATGTTTCTTTCTGTGGGTCAAGAAGAGATACAGTTTTCTGTGTCTACTTGTAATCCCAGCCCTGCCCCAGTCTGAGATGCCCGATGTGTTGTGCTTGATTGAGGCTTTGTTTTGTTTTTCCTTCACAATGGTCACTTCTCAACAGCAGGGGAAGGGTTATCAGCAGCTCAGCCTTCACTAGATTCTTCCAGAGCCATGCGTTCATTGGTTACGGTGATGCTCAAATCTCTGACTGTTTGCCTACTTCCCTCTGACCCTTAGTTATTAAAACTCCCTTAGTTGCTAAAATAACACAGTATTAGCATACTGCTAAGAAAGATGACTGGATAGAACCTAGGATTGGTTCTGCCACTTCTTAGCAATGTGGTTTTGGGCAAGCAAATTTCAATAATCACATATGTCTATCTCCTTGGTCGCAGTGACTTTATGCCTATACATGAAATAATTCACGTAAAACTACTTTGTAAACCATAATGCCCTTTAACGATGTTGACTGTTAAAATTGTTATTATTCCTAAATAGTAACGTAAAAAATTTCTGTGTAGAGAGATTTGAGGGAAGACTTAAGTAGCCAGATTTATTTTCTTCTAAAAGCTATGTGTTATCTTTTGTTATGTAATCAACTACTCCAAAGTTTAGTGACTTAAAAGTTCACTTAAGTGATTTAAGTTTAGTGACTTAAAACAGGGCTCAACAAACTACAGCCCGTGGGCCAACAATTGGTTTTTATAAAGAAAGTTTTTCAGCAACATGGTCTTGCTCATTCATTTACGTGTTGCTGTGTCTGCTTCAAGCTAGGAGGGCAGAGCTGAGTAGCTGTGCAGAGACAATATGGCCTAGAAGCGAAAAGTGCCGTCTCACTCTGGAATAAAACGTTTGCCCACCCCTAGCTGAAAACAACAATGATTTATTATTTTTCATAATGTTGTTTTGGCAAATTGGACATTTTCTCTGCTACTCTCACTGGGAATCACTCAAATGACTGCAGTTTTCTGGCAGTATGATTCCAGCTGAGGGTCCCAGACATCCTTCCTTACTCAAGAGAGTCTCAAGAGAGTCACGTGAGCCTAAGAGTTTGAGGTTGCTGTGAGCTGTGACGCTGCAGCACTCTACCCAGGGCAACTGCAGTCCAGCAGGGGGGACTGTCTCATTTCCCTCAACTTGGTCTTTCTTCCTCCACTGGGGGAGACTGGGCTTCTTCACAGCACAGTGGTCTTGGGGTGCTAAACAGACAAAAGCAGAAATGCAAGACTTCTCAAGGCCCAGTCTCACATGGTGATATTTTCATCTTATTCTATTAGCCAAACCAACCTTGATTCCAAAGGTGGAGAATTAGACCCCAGGCTGCACTTCTTAGTGGAAGGAGTATGGCCATCACATTGCAAAAGGACATGGACACAAAGCAGTTTGATTCCCTGGAGACCATTATTCATATGATCCACCACCAGCTGTTTATGTGAAACAGTTTCTATGTGGCCTAGAACTGGTTTGTTTTTTACAGAAATCAAATTTTGCTGGAATGTGCCAGTCAGAGTGATAATAGTCTGAACTTGCATGTCATTATACTCACATATAAATCCTTTTTGTTGTTCTGTTTCATCTATAGCTTTTCTTAGTGACACTAAAGATAGAGGCCCCCCGGTGCCATCATACACCTGGAGAAGTGGGCAGACGTACTCTTTGAGAGCGTTTGACAACCCCCCTCAGGTGCAGCAGACCCAAGCTCTCCGAGACTTTGAGAAGGTAAGTTCCACGGGGGGTAGGGGGTGGGAGGATTGTTATCGCAATTAGAAGCAGTGTGTGCACTGTACAGTTACGATGTCTCATAAAGGCCTGATCTAGGGATTAGTCTGGATTATAAGCATTGCTTTCATTGTGGTGTCTCTGTCCAAATGAGCAACGCTAGCTACGTGCTGGGGGTTGTGGCTTAGGGACAATTACCTGCTTGGTAGCCTTTCCCTTATCTGTACGGGATACCTTCCAAGACCCCGGTGGATGCTTGAAACCTTGGATCGTATCAAACCCTACATATACCATGTTTTCTACTATATACACATACCTATAGTGAAATTTAGTTTATAAATTAGACACTGTAAAAGACCAACAACAATAGCTAAGAATAAATAGAGCAATTATAACAATGTGCCAGAATTACTACTTATGAATTTTAGGCCATTATTAAGTAAAATAAGGGTTACTTGAACACAAGCACTGTTATACTGCAACAATCTGATAACCCAGACAGTCACTGACTGGCATATACAAGTGGGTGGCGTATGCAGGTTACAGTGGACAAAGGGATAATTCTTGGGTAGGATGGAGTGTGAGATTTCGTCATGTTACTCAGAACGATTTAAAACTTCTAAATTGTTTATATCTGGAATTTTCATATCATATTTTCAGACTGTGGGTAACAAACTGTAGAAAGTGAAACCATGGATAAGGGGAGACTACTGTATTAATGAATTCTCTCTGACACCTGGTTTACATCTCAGAAAAACTCAGGACGTTTAAATGGCGCCCTGAGCATCTGTAGCTGCAGCCTGGGAGCCTGGGGTTCTGGTGCAGTCAGTGGGGTTGAATTCTCTGCTGATAGCTCGGGCTGCTCTGATATCTGGGTATTGTCTGCAGTCTGAAGTGTCTCAGGGACAGCTCTTTGCTTGTCAACAAGAATCAGTTATGCTGCTTGAAACTCCTAAATCAGCTAGCTCTTAGTTCTCCGCCTCTTGGAGTGTTTGTCCTTAGTTTCAGGCAAGAAGAATACCTGATAATGTCGTACAGATCCCCAGCTCCCTGAAAGCTTGCTCATCCCAGGAAGCCTGTACAATAGAACCCGTCCACCGGGATTTATATGGCCCAGAAAGAGCCACCCAGAATTTGCACCTGTGCGTTCTAAAAAAAGAAACAGCTCTTTGGTGCCCTCTGGGGGATACCCAGGGAATGGGTCCCACCTGAGTAATGTAAATAGGTCCTAAGATACATGGACCTAAGACTTAAGGTACATCCTGCCAGATTTTTCTGAAAGCAAAGAATATGTTCCATGTAACATGTGCCTAAGAATTAAACAGCCTGCTCTTGGTATTTTTTACTCAGAGTTGTCATGGATACTGTTTTTTCCTTATTTTAAGACACAGAGAATTTGCAGGAATATTAAGGGGCTTTTGAAGACTAAACCTCTGAACAGCATTGTAGTGCTAGTAGGGGAGCAGGGATGATAGTAACATCCCAGTGCCTTCCCTTTCTCACCTTTTGGACGTGCTGCAATGCAGAAAGGGGTGAGCAGAGCTGCAGAGCTCCTGAGGGCTGTGTGGGGTACTCTCTGAAAGCCAGGCTGAGAGGTGAAGAGAGATAATGAAGTGAGGAGTGTCGCCTCCGCTGGAGGGATCAGTGGCTGGACACTGTGGGGAGGGAAAATAGTGGGCCGGGTTTATTGACAAGCAGGACCCAGCTAATTTTCAGATATGGAGTCCTAAGCCCTTTTGTCTTTAAGTTCAGGTCTGACATCACAGATTACTTCTCAATGCTGGGTGGGAATCACCGACAGAAACCAAGCTAAGAGAAAGGGCCAGTATGAGGTATTTTAAATCTTGGATTCTACCTAAGAAATGCAAACATTTGCATAACCTAATCATTTATACCCTCAAATTAATAAAAAAGAAGTGTGCCAGGCATGGTGGCTCATGCCTGTAATCCCAGCACTTGGGAAGCTGAGACAGGTGGACTGCCTGAGCTCACAGGTTTGAGACCAGCCTGAGCAAGAGCGAGACCCTGTCTCTAAAAATAGCCGGGCATTGTGGCCGTCGTCTGTAGTCCCAGCTACTACTTGAGAGGCTGAGACAAGAGAATCACTTGAGCCCAAGAATTTGAGGTTACTGTGAGCTATGATGCCACGGCACTCCACCCAGGGTGACAAAGTGAGACTGTGTCTTGAAAAGAAATGTAAAGGAAGGGAAAGAAACAGAGACTTGTTGAAACTCTGTTTACAGGACCTAAGAAGATCATAATCGTAGCTCATGATAATAATATTTGAGCGCTTCTTATACACCAGGCACTTTTCTAGACATTTCAACTATTTTATTTCAGCTGATTTTCAGCTCACTTTTCTGACTTACAACAAAGACATTATTATTACAACCACTATGCCAGTGAAGAGACCAAGGTTCAAATAACTTGACCACAATTATAAAGGTATAAAGTGACAAACCAAGGTAACGCTGGCAATCCCAAGCTTCCTGGGGGAAATATGGGAGCACTGAGAGGGAGGCTGTGCTGGAGGAAGGCTCGTAGTTTGGTTCTACACATAGGATCAAAAAGGCAGATGCTGCAGGAGATCCACAGAGGGGTCAGGGTTGGGCTGTGACATCAAGAGGGGCCGCCACTGCCCTGTCCAGTCTACACATTTTTAACGTGGAAATGCCAGCAGAACTGGCTGCACTGTTTGTCTACCGGCTTTCCCTGGCAGGCAGAATCTCACTGCAGTGAGTCAGCCTCCTGGGGTCCCACCCATCCTGGCCAATTTTTCCACTTGCAACTTGAAGTCTATGGGTAAAAAAAGAAAAGAAAAGTGCTAAAATGAAGGAGATTTTTAACTTTGGGGGTTTTATATTAACCTGAATTACCACAGTCTGGGTGACCAGCACTAATTTAGGTGAATCTGGGCGTTGTCACTGCTGTCTCTAGGTCTCGCAATTTCAGTGCTGCTCAAGTGTGTCTCTCTAATTACAGCCTTGGAAAGTGAATGCCACCAGTGAAGGGCGTTTTTATTTTTTTACGTGGCATTTATGGTTCCAAACCACAATGTTCCAAGCATACCAGTTTTGCTTTCACTGGTGTCTTAAGACATTCAAAAAGTTGTTCATGAGAAGGGATAAAATCTCGGACTTTCAGCACTCATGAGAGTACTTTATTCTCCTTTTTAAACACGACTTGTTAGAGGACGTCCACACGCAGTCATTCCACAGACCTTGAGCAAAGTTTTCAGTCCTGCCAAAGATATGTAGCAAATCAACTATTTTTTCTTTCTTTATAACTACAGAATGAAAGGAATGATTCTGAGTGCCTTACAGCAGCAGTCCCCTACCTTTTTGGCACCAAGGACTGGTTTCGTAGAAGACAATTTCTCTATGATGGGGATTGATAGTCAGGTGGTTTGGGGATGATTCAAACACATTACATATATTGCACATTTTATTTCTGTTATTATTACATTATAATATATAGTGAAATAATTATACAGCTCACCATAATGTGGAATCAGTGGGAGCCCTGAGCTTGTTTTCCTGTGAGTATATGGTCCCAGCTGGGAACGACAGGAGACAGTGACACCCTGACACCCAAAGAGTGCTGCTTATGTCCTCAGTTCCACCTCACATCATCAGGTATAAGATTCTTATAAGCACCATGCAACCCTGATCCCTCACATGCACAGTTTAGTAGGGTTCAGGCTCCTGCGAGAATCTAGTGTCACCCCTGATCTAACAGGAGGTGGAGCTCAGGCATTGACGCAAGCCATGGACAGTGGCTGTAAATACAGATGAAGCTTCTCACTTGCTTGCTTGGTGCTGGTCTGTGGTAGAGTGTGGCTGAGGGTTGGGGCCCACAACTGTAGAGGATACAAAGATGTATAGAAGTCTCCATTCTCTAGGAGTGTACAATATAATTAGGGGCATAAGAAACTTAAATTATGTAAGATTGAATTTAAATATAATAACATCTAAGTCAACCATGGGAAGATATGTCAAAATTAGAGTAATTATGAATGTATGCCTTTAAAATGTAAATATTAGGACAAAGTTTTTTCTAATTTTTTTGTGCATAAACATTTTTTAAAGTTGTAAATGTTTTCTCACATTTGGTTTAAAATTAATAAGGAAACTTTATCCAAAAGAATGCAATTACAAAAATTAAACAATCTTGAACATTCTGAAAGGTATGGTTACAAACACAGAAAAGAGCATCACTTCCTCAGAGAATATGGCACTCGAATGAGAATGGTTTGTTTGCTATTTTTTGAACCTCCTTTCTGGCTCAGTAGACCTCGTTTTCTTCTCTACTCCACTATATGAAGAGAACCCCTATTTTCCTTTCTGTGGACTCTGCAGAATTTCTATTCCAAAGATAATTTTCATTCTAAAAACAAAATTTTTAAGTGACAACAAAAATAATGATATAAATTAATAACAGTAGAACCTCTTTAAAGTTGACCAGCCAAGAGACTGCAGCAATCTGGTCATCATATGGAGGTGGTCAGCATAAGGAACTGGGCCTACTGTCCTGATGTGTACCTGTGGTGCCTGTCCAGTCTGTGAAAATTAGGTTGACTTAAGGCAGTGGTCAGTGTTGGGAGGTGGTCAGCTATGGAGATCCTGCTATACTGATTGAATGCTCGCAGTGTGCCAGGCTCTGTGAATGCATCTGACTTGCATTGCCTTATTCAGCACTTGTAATCATCTTTTGATGATTTTGATGATTTGGTACAGCCATTATCTGCGTTTGGACAGAGAGAGACACTGAGAGTAAGAAAAGGCTAATACAAGAAAGTTCTAGAGCTAGGATTTGAACATAAGTGTGCTGGTTCCAGAACTGGAACTCTTAGCCACAATTTCACTGTGCCTCTCTATTGACCGCTGATCTTCTGGTTCATTTGTTTAATCTACTCATCCACTTAGGGTACAGCACAGCCTGTGTGCCAGGCACTGCTCCAGCTGTGAGTTGCACAATGATCAAGTATCAGTATGTGAAAG